AATCTCTGAACGAGAGACTCGAGTCGCTCATAGAGAGATCCTCATTTCGTATCCAGTCTCTGAACGAGAGACTCGAATCTCTGAACGAGAGACTCGAGTCGCTCATAGAGAGATCCTCATTTCGTATCCAGTCTCTGAACGAGAGACTCGAATCTCTCAATAAGTGGTGTCTCGATAGACATGGTTAAAATTTTCTATGTTCAACATATTTCAGAGATCCCAGTCTTTCTACGAGAGACTCGAATCTCTCCATTTTTGACTTTTATTCACTCAGTCTCTCTGTGAGAAACTCGAATCTCTGAATTAACAATTTTATTGTTCGAGTCTCTCATACAGAGACTGTGAGAGATCCATAAAAACAAGGCAATAACTGAGAGACTGTGAAAGACTGTGAGAGACCCTGAAAGACTCTGAGAAACTGGAGAGAGTCTGAAAATTTTTGTCTAGGGCATACATACATCTCGACTAATAAAAGTACTACATTACAACAATTTTTAATAAATTTCGCATATTGCATTATGTAGGAAATGTCCATTCTGTAACATGCCATGGTAGTAAACCACAAATTTGTTATTCTATTCGCGGTCACCTGTCGTTATACATTTCCACGCGGTTCCAACAATTGAAAACAGCGAGTAGCACATAACCCAGCTCTGTCGTAATAGACGAACAATATTAGCGCAATTTGGTCTCCTTTATTAAAAGTATTTGCAATGCAAATTCAAAATCAACTTGCATTTCAATGACACATTCCTTTACCACGTTGCTGTTAAGTTTAGCCATAATTTAAAGAGTGACAAAGATAGACGAACACACCCTGCATAGCCAAAAAATGATTTCGTCGTATACCGGAAATAGGTCAGTATCAAAATAGGTTGTCAATATTGAATGAGACGCAATACAAATATCGTCTCCAAGCACTTTTCGTAATAAAGTTATGGCGGGTCGTAAATATTGTGGCAACTTTGGGACTTTTGGCGAATTCAATTTTAATAAACTTCATATGGCAACTTTGCATCGACCTTACTATAGTTGAAACGTTCAAAATTGGCAAAGTTCGCAATAAAACTGTCTCATTTACTTTCTTCTTTCAACTTACTAATTAGACTAGAGCGGTTGCTGGCATAACGCCTTCTTTTACTGACGACAGACGTAAGGAATATCGTAAACATAGAAAAGAGATGTCAAATAGGAATTGCAGCGGGCACTAAAAAGAAAATGGAACAATACACCAATTAATGCGTAACAAAAAGAGACGCAGACAAGCAGAATTTTAGCATTTAAAGAANCGCCTTCTTTTACTGACGACAGACGTAAGGAATATCGTAAACATAGAAAAGAGATGTCAAATAGGAATTGCAGCGGGCACTAAAAAGAAAATGGAACAATACACCAATTAATGCGTAACAAAAAGAGACGCAGACAAGCAGAATTTTAGACTTTAAAGAAAGTTGAGCATTCTTAGGAATTAAAAAACAAAGACACTTACTTAAAGATATATATACTTATGTAACGCCTTATAAGTGGAAATAATTATGAAAATAATTAGCCGGAAACTCATGGTGAGTAAACTCATAATAAGTAATAATAAAAATACTCCTGAAGATGCCCTAGAAAGCGAAATGTACATCTGGTTCGTAATAAAATTTAGTAAAACTTTCCAAGTGTCTTTTTATTATTACCGAAATAATTGTAGAGTCAAACTCTAATAAGTTGAAATACTAAAAGGGAAAGTTGTTACATACAAAAAGCAACTTGTCTACTAAATAGACTAACTAATATAATTCCCCACTGACTCTAACTACCCCGTGCTCCTCAACTACTAAACTACATACCAGCACCTCATAAGCATTTACTATTTTCTTGAGACACAACTAGTCTTAAAAGTTTTTTTTTTTGTTTTGTAACACAGTAGGTACACTTTATTTAATTTGATGATATGATAGCGGTTGTTTATTATAAATGTATAATTCCATTAAGGCAAAGATACCACTTAATTATTTTGCGGATAAAAACAAAAATAATTACTTTACATTCAAATGATTTAAAATTCTTGTCTCATCGCAAATGTTTAATATGGAACAGCACCCTAAAATTTATTTGTAATGTAGGGTTTGTAACGAACTGATGTAAATGATAAGGGAGGATTAGAAAATGTGCGAAATCTGTGTTGAATAAAAATATTCGTTTGTTTCGAAGGGTAGATATAATTTACCATTACAGTGTAAAGCATTATAATGAATCATGAAATTATTTCTTGGTAAAATTTATTTTTCATTTTTAATTGACTTTTTCAAAATTTCTCATAAACTTAGCTGCTGAAGTTTTCGGATTAGGTCTTAAATCCTTTTTAAATGTCACTGAAAGGGTGTGTTTTTAAAGAAAATACAACCATGACAAGCTTTATTTTTGTTGCAGCGTGAATTGAAAAAGGATTCCATTTTTCCATTAGTTGAGGAAACGAAAATCCTTAAGTGGTTTGCTTTGCCACTTGAGGAGCTTTGTTTCGCCAGCTTCTTTCCTTTTAGACTAAAATAGCATGATATTTTGTTTCTCAGTTTCTTCAGAAGTTGTTTAACGAGTTTTTGAGGAACCCTATACATGCTATCAACTTAAAAATTTCGCTTACCTGTGTAATATATTCCAATTTATTTGCGGCAAGAATCGACAATTCAAAGATAGATGGAAAGTTTTCTACCTTAAGAATACAAGAAAAATAATGGCGATTATTATTTAAAGCCAAAATATTGGATATTTGATAGGTTCAGTAATACAGAACCAACGAAAAATAATTTGGAAATTTTTAAGTATTACATTTTTTAAGATATTGCTGAACATGTAGGTACTCCAAACACTTATATTTCCTTCTCGATCGAATTACTGGAACTAAATTATGAAAAAGAACAGGGTTAATAAAATATCAGCTTCTATTAGATGTATAATTTTATCGTTTTTAGTTTTAAGAAAATACGAAGATTAGCTCAGGATAGGAAATAGTGGAGGTGCGTGTCCAACAAGTCTTAGGACTGACGACCTTATAATGGTAATGAGATAAAANAATTTTTCAGTTTTATTCATTCAATCTCTCTGGGAGAGACTCGAATCTCTAAATTAACAATTTTATCGTTCGAGTCTCTCATACAGAAAATGTGAGAAATCCATAAAAACACCTAGGCAATAACTGAGAAACGGTGAAAGACTGTGAGAGACGCTCTCAGAGGCGCTGAAAGACTCTGAGAGACTGAAAATTTTTGTCTAGGGATGTTCCAAAAAATTGCACGGTAGATTATTGACCGCTTTAATTTGAATTAAAGTCACATTTTTTGTACTCATAAGCGTTTTGTATTTGATCACCAACCTGCCGAAAGAGAAATGGGATTGAACATGAACGAAAACTTCCGAGACCATTTAGGATTTGCGGTCCTGATTTATGTTCTTATTTTACAGAAAACTGGCCGATATATCAAGGCTCACAAGAGGAGTAATCGTCCTGTTCAGTGACCGCGTTTTTGCACTTCGTATACTAGAAAACGCCCGTCGTCTAAACATGATGGACGGTCATTTCGTATGGATCTGGATCAACACCGCAAGCACAAGTGCGCAATCAGAATTCTATAGTAGGTGAGTACAGTTCATCCTATAGAAACTTCGTCCTCTACAATCCTGTTACAATAATGCTAATCATTAGATGCTTTGGAGATATATTTTTCTTGAATTAATAAGCGAAATTGAATCTAACACTAAAATTAACACTTGGTTTAAGTTTTCTAAAAGAAACAAATATAAATTTCAGTGAAAATATTTCTTTCATGGTTGTAATTAAGGTTTCATGGAAAATTCGTTTTATATTCATTTGTTTCCTTACTTCTCGATCTGTATTTCTGTTCTGACATTTACGTATTAACTTTAAGTCTCTACATTTTGTTATACAAATTAGTGATAGGCAAAGCAAGATCAAGGTACAAGGTACCTACTTGAAAGAAATTAAAATGTCAAAAACATTTAGTCCGTTTTTATACTTCAACCATGTGTTATCCAGACATAGGAACAAAGAACACTTGCTCCGAGGACATTCTTGTAGACCCTTCCTTTCAAACAGTGGTAAAGTTTTTTTTTATATTTATTGTTAAAATCTAGTAAAGCAAACTAAAATATCAAATAGTAAAGCTCCATGCTAATGACTGAACCGTTGCAATTCTCTACAGGCCTATCAGTGAATCCTTCTGCAAACTTAAACCATTAAGTGTTTTAACGTTAGGTATTTCACTAAAATTGTGCTCTCGTGAAAGTAGCTAGCTTAGAATTTCCTAATTCTGTAGAGATACATACTACGAATAAATTTTCATTGTTCTGTATATATATTAGTGGAAAGCAGCCACTGCATGGGGCGAGCTTTTTGTCGTAAATGATGAGTATGGTGCATTATGCTGGGCTATTCTGAGCAAAAGGGATCTAAACATTGTATTATTTTGTAGCAGAAAGTGCACTTATAGTTCGGGCATCTAATGGGCATCTTTAATAATCACAATACAAACCACTCAAATCTCGGTTGTAAAGCTTTAAATCGTGTATAAACTTCAGAAGGTTTCATTGCAAATAATTTCAAGTTTATTAATTTAATTTCTTGTTACAGTACCTATAATTCGCTGCTTACTGTTACAATTTTCTCCTACATGAACTTTGAAGGGTTACATTGAAACGAGATATTTTGTATATGTTTATTCAACGATAAGTTTATAGCAGTATAAGCATCAAGCAAGGAGGGGTTAGAGATAGCTTTAAATAAAATGGAAGCGGTATTGACGAAACAGTATTGTATGAAAATAAATAAAAATAAAACAATTATACTGCTATGCAAGGGAAGAAAAAGTGGGGACAGAGCGAATATAAAGATAGGAGACAAAAAATTAGAAGTAACCGATTTTAGGTATCTAGGAAATCAGGAAGTCAGGACGGAAAGAGTAGTAGGGATATAAAGTAGAGGATAGCGCAGGGTCGAGTCACCTTCAATAAAAAGAAGCACTTCTGTGCTCGCGAACTTTCAATTTAGAAATTCTAAAAAAGTTGTTGAAGGTGTATGTTTGGAGCACGGCGCTGTACGGGTGCGAAACATGGACAGAGGGCGCGGTGGAAAAGAAAAGGTTAGTTGCGTTCGAAAGGTGGTGTTACAGGTGAATGATGAGGATATCGTGGATAGAGAAGATTAAAAATGAAGAGGTATTAGAAGGAATAGGAGAACAGAGGACTCTATGGAAGTCTATAGGCGAGATAGGTTGGTAGGACAGGAATGAAGGTCTAGTCAGAGACATATTAGAGGCAGAAACGGAAGTTAGGAGGGATAGAGATAGACCTTCATTAGATTACTATTCGCAAATAGTTAAGGATGTGGGTTGTTCTAGTTTTAGGGAAATGTGAAGATTAGCTCAGGATAGGAAAGAGTGGAGGTGCGTGTCCAACCAGTCTTAGGACTGCCGATCTTATGATAATGATGAAGTTAACTAGAAGGTGTCAAGCATAATAAGTTACAAAAAGGCATTTCTTTTCAACAACCTATGGATACTTGAATATCGGTACTAACACGGACTTGTTATAAGTCCTACCTTTCACGGGTACGTTCAGGACCATATAGTACCTTACTCATTATTTCTTTTAATAATATTTCCTAAGTCTAGGTATTTAATGATTAGAATGATGTATTTCCTTCAGCTAGCAAAATACTTTGAATTCCTTAAGCGTTTCTAATCTTCTCTTCTATTTTTTTTTCAGAGACCCGGATCAAGAATTAAATAATAATGTGAACTATTCGGAGTTTTCATTCAATTCAGATTTGTCGCGTTCAAAACGTGCCAGTAACGCGAATAGTAAAATGAAAAGTGATACTAGTGATACGCATCAGTTAAGTTTTTTATTAAATAATGACGATTCGTTGATTAATTTCGATCATAATGAAGGCGTTGAAAGTTCTAAATTAAAAAATCGTCAAGAATCTGTAGGAAAAACGCCCCTATCGAAAAGGGGCACTACGGTAATAACATCGTCAGACTTACCCGTCGGACTTCTTAGTCTACGTCCCTTACCGATAAGGGTTGATAGACATCTTGTCAAGGGGGCGGTTAAACTGCTTGTGGTTACCCTCAAGCAGGTCTTAGACCACTGCCCCGAATGGCTTTCTGCAAGCATCCTTCATCAAGAACTCAAGGCGTCCTGTTGGAGAACAGCGGGAGTCAAAGAACTTAACTTCTCTACAGCTTATGCCAGGTAAGTCCTGACACAAGTCTTTATTGTGCAGAATTTTCTGACAGGTGCGGATATTACACGTATACGTATCTTTTTATTTCCTTTTGAAATTTGTCCAAAGGAATATCTGTATATTGATGTATACACAAGTAAGCTTTTGAATCATCCGCAAAGCTCTCTCTATACCTAATCTTTTTATGAAAGAAAAGCGGTATTATTATTTTTCAGCATTTTTCAAATACATTTTTGAAATAACCTTATGACCAAAGCTTCTGATAACTGCCTAACTATATAAAGTAAATTTTTATTATTGAAAGTNTTATTTTTCAGCATTTTTCAAATACATTTTAGAAATAATCTCATGGCCAAAGCTTCTTATACCTAACTAAAGTAAATTTTTATTGTTGAAAGTAATCAATTTATATTCGACTAAAGAATGATTAAAATTTAAAGAGAGTTGAATGGATAATTCAGAATTGTTGAAAGTAATTCAAATTTAATGATTAGATTGGTTTTATTTAACTAAAAATAACATAAACGATATTTGTATATAAACGACTTTGTTCGAGTGGAAATAATTTTTAAATCCTCAGCGATCCAATTTTCGAATAACACTAAGGGTTAGACAGCAGCCGGTGAAATATAGTAATCAGTTTAATCACCGTGGAAATGGAAAATCAATGAGACGTCTTCCGAATCGGCCCGTTTTAATGATACCGCCTTATGAATGTCAAATTCATCAATCTGCCAGTTTTATAAATTGCGTTAGTGATGAACATAGGTACCGGGTATCATTCATTAATTTGCTTTCGCTTTGTGAAAAAAAAAAAAGAAAAGAGAATATTACTTAATTCAATTTTTATACTAGATTAGTTTAATGAGACATTTTGTGCAGTCATTCTTAGCGCTATTATTTCACGTTCGATAAGTTTTTATTACACAATAGCGGAAATAATGAGCTTTCGCAAAATTGTCACATTTTATATGAATTGAAATTGCAACAAAAGTATAATGCGACAACATAAAGGAAATAGCAAGGTTACAAGTCTTGCAGCAGTAAAAGTTCCCTTTAGACGTCGTTCCGCTCGGGAGATTGGAGAAAAACATCTTCCGCTAATAAAACACGGTAGAAGTGTTTTATCGAAGCCAATTTCATTGATTTCACTTCCGATAAAGTTGTTACATTTTACGAGATTCTTCCTATAACAAGTAGCATGTATGCATGTAAAGTGAGAAGTCGTTACCGTAAGCTTAGAATATTTTACATCAGAAACTGTTGACGCCGATCGCGCGTCGGTTGTAATAAGTGGGAGATGAAATATGTAATTGTGCGTAACAGACAATTACATGAATACACAAACCAATTAAACATTGATTGGTGTATATTCTACATCTTTGTATATATACTAATAGGCCTATAATTAAATTGAAATGGACAAAATATCGCATTCAACCGATCACTTGAGAAAGGTTAGGGGAGCATTTTCTTGTTCATAAAGGGTTGGAAAGCAGAAATAGGAATAAATAGGGGTAGAGGTTGACCTGTTTGGTCTGTTCTTTGATGAGGCCTCTGCACAGCATTCATTAAAAAAAATTCACTTACTGTAATTTTTCGTACTTTGGTTAATTATTCTTTATCCACTATGATAACAAAATATATTATAGATGTACACATTTTGCTTTACGACTTAAGCAACTGATTTAACAATGTCAGCCGAACATAATGATTTACTATTACGTAGAATGCCTATGTTGCTGTCGTTCCCATGTCAACTACAAATATGTTCTGATCTTTGTATAAATGACTGCTTAGTGCCATTAGTCTGTTTGACAATGATTAATACCATTTATCTTCCCGTTTATTACATAGAATACAGACATCTAACCTTCCTGCGAGAATGGGTGAATTTCAAAATAAATGTCATCGATTAACGCGGTAGATACATTATGTCTTAGACTATTATATCTAAGAGATAACTTAAACTAAATAAGGTCTTGTAAAATAATTCCCATTTTGTTTTTGAAGTCATGCAACGGAAGCTGCGCGCGCACTGCTAACACCACAATATGAAGTTAGCAACGCCATTGCGGTTAGTTCGAGCTAAGACTCAGAACAGCTGACTCTGGTATAACACATTTTATGTACTTTAATGAAAACCATAACAATAATCTTACAATAACAGGTGCTTTACTGGAAAATCCTATTGTTACCTCATTAAATAAATAAGCACTTCCATGCTTGATAATGTTTAAGTGTTTTTTTTTAAATGTGTCTGTCTGAAACGCTATACATGCCATGCACTTAGCTTTCATCGTAAGTGCCCCTTTGAGACGACGATGGAGTACTAGTTGTGGCAAAGGCAAAGAGGGAAATGGAATTATAATGTCATATTCTGTGTGACTCCTTTTTGTATTAAGTAAAGTAACGCTTGAAGACGTTGTAGTAGGTTGCAATGAACCAATCATCTCCCTATTACATTGCCGTATATATACATATTGTAGGTACTAAGTAAAATACAACTATTAATAAACGTATTTAGAAACCGCAATTACGCTATTCATACATGCATCATCACACAAGGTCGTCAAGACTTTTTTCCGTCCTAAACTTTTCCCTAAAAATAGAATATCTCACAAGCTTAATTGTTTGTGAACAGTAATCTAATCTAGACCTACCTGTAGTCCTCTTAACTCCTGTTTCTGCTTCTAATATGCCTCTAACTAGCCTTTCATGCCTGAGAAGGTGTCCTGCCAACCTTTCTCGCCTATTTCTTATTGAATTCCATAGCGACCTCTGTTCTCCTACGTCCTCATTATACGAGGGTGGATTGATAAGTTTCCGGCCTAACCAAGAGATGACGCCACTAGGCCTACCTTGAGGTGACATTCTATAGTACCATCCTTGGATAGCTTGTAGCTATAGTTTCAGCCCGATCTCCTTGCTAGTGTAGGTTTGACAGCACGCTGAACAAGACGCCTCTGTGGTTTTCGTAAAAATGGAAAAGCAGGAAAATCGTGCTGTCATCAAATACTTTTATTTGAAGGGGTTAACGCCGAAGGAAA